CAATTTTCGAATTTCTAAATAATCTTAACTAAAAAGAACCGATTTTAAAACAAAACAAGGTAGGTTTCTGGAAGTTAAGTCAACTGTCTTTAGGAATGGATTTTATACGTATTGCGTTAAAATGGTTTGTGTTGTTTTAGAGTTTTATTTTATTAGACTGATAAAGAAGGTTAATAAATATAACAAACACTGAAGATACACTATTTTTTTTTCAAACGTCACAAAAGTATTAATTTTTGCGTCTATTTATCCTTGTCGAGGACCTATCAACCACGCAGATAGTGAATTATATTCATTTATTGATTTGTTTGAGGAGACTGTAATGCTTCAAATACATCATATAATTACAGACTTGTTACAGGTTTACTTCGTGGCGTCTATTATTATATAGTACACTATAGTTGTTTTAACATATCTATTACTGTCTGTGAAATCACTCTTTCTTGAACATGACTGTGATGATAGGTGGTGAATTACAAAAACGTTTGATTCCAGTTCCGTACAGCAGTAGCTCACCTGACCAGCCTTGCAAAAATAGATTAAATTGGCCAATTAAAAGATACCCAAATCGAATTAATCATATCTCATTTTTTTTTCAAATGGAACGAGGATGGCTCATTAGCATATTTGGAAAAAGCATTTTTTTTTACTGATAATTTGATACCACACAATTGTCATTGTAAACTGCATGATACAATTTTAAATAAACTATGCGAAACTGTCAAAAGTTGACATATGATATGTCATTCTTTTTAGAGTGTCATTTTCTATCTAATAAAGAAAAAAAATACTGAGTGTGTTATTCAAAAATCGAAAGTTGTAGTAATTTCCGGTGAAACAGGAAGTATCTGAAAACAATTTAATACGTCAGTCAATCCTGATTTATGTCATCATTATCATTTTATCTGAAGAAATAAAAAAAGTTATAAGAGTGAGCCACTTTTGTACACCCGATATAAAGGGCTTAATGATATGTAAAATATAATTTTCTGAAATAAACGTAAAAAAAGTATTTTATTTTATAATACTAATAAAGGACGATAAACATACTTGAAATATACAGTCTTGTATTATATATATTGTCTTATATATGTCTTCAGACAATTTTATCCCGACTGCCTACAGTAACAGTAAACATAACATTAGTTACAGTATGTTCAAAATAAACACCTGATTTGGTCCATATGTAGACTATTTTCTGAGTAAAACAAAAGTATGTAAAATATGATTTAAAATTTAAATGAAAAAGAAAGCACAATTATTTCTTCAATGATTGTCCAAACAGACGATAACAGGTGAAATTTGATATTCACATAACCAAGGAAGCAATGTCCTCGTAGATATAAAAAAATATTATATAAGCCTGTTTAAAGTATTAATGTCAATTAAGTACAAATTCAATTACAATGACTCAGTGATGCTTATCTGCTGCGGAGAGTAAAGTCTATTGTTACACACCCTATTGTGGTCTCCATTCTAACTTCATTTTACTTATATAAAAGAGAATTTTGAAAGGGAAAGTATATATCGTATCATCTGATGCTAATCTACGGTTTCCGAATAATTTTATTCTGCTTTCTAGAGAGGGGCAGTATACTATCTGATTTTTTCAAATATCCCAGAGGTTTTGTTTAACCCAAAGCAGAAACTGCTTAAAAATTTGGGTTTATCGAACCACGAAAAGTCTATTTTGATTAGTAGGATTTAGTAGGAAGTTTATTTTGATTTTGTGTGTGTTGCCCTTAAAGTGGGAACATTTTATAATTCAAGAAGGCATCGACACTTCTTTTTAATTATAGTGCTTTAATCCCAGGTCATATTATACACTTACGTGGATGCATAAACGCCATATAATTAGCATTAAAATAATGTCTCCAACATCACGACATACCACTTTCAAACCTTCTTTATTGCATTTATGAAACCTTCTATGTATAAGCTTGTTTTTCCCGATGGTCTTACTTTGCGCATGCGCATTTAAAGTTACGGGTATGACAACCCAAACCACAGTGAAAATTATACATTGTTATGGAAACTGAAAACCAACTTTTAATCGTCATAATCTTGCCATAATCAGTAAATCATATGTCATAATCTTATTTCCATTGCGTAACGACACTTGAGTTTTTTATTTTAAAAATTGTATCAATTACACTTTTATCAATTGCTTTTATATAGCCAAGGATGCAAGAGTGTGCAATTATATCTCTATTTTTTTCCCATTTTTTCCATTTTCGTTGGACTTTTTAAATACTCAAAATGGCTAATATAAAGGTCCGTAAATTATTCAGTTGTTCTTTTACTTATATTAAACCACACGCATACTTTCTGGGTAGATTTCCTAAGAATATTAATATTCGTTTGGAGTGGCTAAATCTATTTTTTTATATAATTTAATTTTTTGTAACAGTAAATATTCAATTTATTGTTCAAATATATGCATTTTACAAATTAAATTTGGCGCGTGAACGATAGGTCCACGACAGGGATAGACAGAATAGAAAGAAGGTAAATGTAAATTATAAGTCATTGATATGGTTGCGACAGTTTCCATAGTGATTTATGTATCCACGTAAGTGAGTAAGTGTATTAAAGCACTAGATCATAGGGCTTTAATATATTAGGTACTTTGTTTGTGTGAACTACGTCAACATTGCCTAGGTGTCTGTGGTCGAATTCATTGTACCATACATACTAAATTATCACTTTAAGATGAATTTCTTTCTTTTCGGCCCTCTGTTGGTTGAATTCTTGTCGAGAAGAAACATTATAGACTACTTCACTTCAGTTATAACAGATTTCTTGTATTTACATAAATTTTGGTGAATTTTCTACTATCAAATGTGTTGCTGACTATAAATTTACCTGTGTATGACAGATAAGTAGGGTTGCCAACCGTCCTCTATTCTATAGGACAGTCCTCTTTTTGATCGTACTGTCCTATTTTTTACACATCCAACTTAAAATATAAAAAATGTTTGTGTATCGCCACAATGCTTAGTCCTTTTTAAAATTGTATATTTAGAAACAATGTGTTTTTGCTACTTCCACTCGTCCGTACAGAAAGGCAATGTTTCTGTACAAAAATATTTGTGGAAGCGATGCATGTTTAGCTTTTTTATATTTACTTCCACTCTTAGCTTTCCACTCGGCGAGCGCTTCACTAACTGGACCCGAGGTTTTCTGTTTCCCAAGTGAAAACCAACTTAAAGCAAATTCCAACGGTCTAAGACACTCGAAGAACTTACTCAGGACTTGCTATACCTTCTCAGAACTTACGATCGAGAAAAACCAAAGATTTTGCTTGCTTTAAGTAAGAACAATCTTCGGATTGCCACGGCGTTTTAACAGGACACTGTTTCCTCAATGAACACTTCAGTAGATTGAAGCTAAGAAATGAGTACAGATTCTGTGGGGAAAATAGAGGAACACCAGAACTCCTCATCACACTGAGTGCACAGAGACGACAACCATTCGTGTCATAAACTTTGGTACCACTGATATTAAAGATGGAGAACTAACTTCTATAAAACCGTCTCAGATACTGGCTTTTGTCATAGCCCTGAGGCTGTTTGATGAGTTATAACGCAAGAAAGGGGCATCAAAGATCTATAATGAAGCGGTGACCCTTCTCCACACCCATACAATCTACAGTCTAATGACAGATATGACTTCATCATTTATGGTGTAATATTCCTTACCATCTTCACAGTTTGTTCCTAGTGTCTGGTGGTACATTCAATAATACTGCAATTGCAATCGTGGGAATGTTAACAGCCATATTTTCTTCCTAAAAACCAACAATACATTTTTTTAGTTGCATCCAATATCTAGTTAGCCCTGTTTATTTTTGGCATGAACTTTCCACCGCTCATTGGCATTTTAGTCATGCCTAGATAATTGGCAGTATTGGCATACGTTGACTAAAATGCACCGATATTATTCACAACGTTATTAGATAATAGTGACAGAAAAATATATAGAAACGACGAGATTATACACGCACATTGCGTTTGTTAAACACCGAGTGCGATTTTGGTGTGGCGGTCCGTCGAGCCGGCGTTGTTTGCGTTTTCGACAGCGGCGGCGCCACCATACGCGCGCTTCAACTGTTTCGCTTCGCCGGATCGCGGTTCGCTTCAGTCTTTCCGGAGCGTTGTCCGGACGCAGATCATTCTGTGATTGTCTCTCCAGCCAGCCGGAGCAGTACTTTTCACTCGCGTCGCGCGGCGTATCATGTTATGGTTTTTGCGCGCTGACGATACACAGTTCTAGGTTTTTATGGTGTTATTTTATACGTTCTTTGTTGTCTTCAGTTTGCATCAGGATTATTACCATTGCTGCGACTGTTCAGTCGAATGTTTCGACATCCTCTGATTCTTCATCAGTGGTGAGTTATCAAGAGTTTTATGGTGTAATTTAAAGTTTTTCGTATCGGTTTGTTTATGGAAAAAATTGTGAATGCTTGTGATAAACATATGAGCTCAAACTTACATACAGCATACTATGTCACTAAGAAGACAAAATTTTCAAAAGTTTTGGGTCGCGACCGTTGCAAGAATAGCCCCAAATAGTGTTTACATTGTCCTTATGGGCACTTTCCAATCTAAACTTGTTTCATTTATCTATGATATAACTCGGAAGGTCTCGGTCTGAGTAATTTTTTTTCTGTCTTTCACTTATACAGGTTGTCTCAGAAATAATAATAATAATAATATGTCTTTATTTTAATAATCCTCGGCGAAGTTCAGTAAATAACTGCTTAGTTAACCGAGTACCATTACAGTATAACCTAACAAATAATATCAATATCTACTACCTTATCTTAAATTAATATATCAAATGTATAAATATAATAACAAAAAAAAAAACAATGAAAAATACAAAAAAATATAAAAAATATAAAGCATTAACAAAACTATTAGTGTAACAGAGAGATTAGTTTAACATAGAGCACACATAGAGAACAATTGAAGACACGAGTGGATAAGGGTGTCATCTGCCAAAAAAATGTTTTGGAGTAAAATCGATTTAAAATTTCTTGATTAATTTCCAGTGTAACTCTTTTGTTATTTTAAATATCAATGTGAATTTTGGTATTGAGATGGAAACGCTATTAATATATCTTTGTAAAACGCTATTTTTCAGAAAACTAAATAATATCTCATGTTTAAACATGTTTAATGGCATATGACACTTTTATCCATCGAAATAGAAAACATAAAAAATAAATCAAAGTGTGTCAAGTAAAGAACTTTAATATTACATAATATTATGATATAAAAAATATCTTATTTTTTATATAAAATATGTTAATAATACACGTTATACGGTTCTCCTAGATGTTTTCTTAACTTTAGGATTTGTTTCATTTTCTTCCAAGATCTTTTCATAATACCATTTATATTCATCTTTTATGTATTGTAGTTGAGCACGTAAATTATTTTGTTTTTCGGAAGTCAAACCACCTCTTTTTTCGGAAAATCTATGTAACTTAATTTCATCTGCTCTTGTCAATGTTTTGACTCCAGTTTTAAAAAGCTCAACTTTGTGGAATGGCGAAAACTCATCAAGATTATTTTTATACCAGAAGCTTCCAAATTCGTCAACTTTAATCCACTTAACATTATCTCTAAAATTAAGCTTTTCTTTTAACATGTTAGTTTTTCTGTTAACCAACCTTAATTTCAACGGAAGTTCATCAAAATTATAAAAGTAGTTTTCCATGTTTATCGTCATAGCATTTTTAGTACTTGCAGACTTTATAATGTTACTATATTGCTCAGGTACATAGATGTTTTCATGTTTACGAATTTTTTTTTCAATTCTCCCAAAGTCTCTGTCTGAATCTAAATAGCTGTGACCAACCTCAGGAAATTTATGCTCTATAATATCAAATGTTCCATTTAAAACTAAGAGTTGATATAGGCATATGATATTAAAATTTTTGTTCTGACCTGCGCAAGAATCAGACCAAATAATAAGATGGGTTATATCTTCATTCTGGTCTTTAAGTAAATGGCAGAATCTATATAGGCAACTCGCAATTTCAACACTTCCCTTGTTAGCCATGTCTTCCGTCCAGTTAAAAAAATAGGGTACAGATTCAGAAGAAGTTACGCAATGAACCCCGAAGTTATAATACCACATCTGACGCAGGTAAAAGGCTTTGTTTGTTGATAATTTGGGCAAGGGCATGGTTTGCTGCAAGTCCATTGTGATATAACAAGTTTTTTTATTAAGTACAGGTTTTTGTCTGTCAAGTTTTTGCATCTCAAATGCCATTTTAAAGCTTTCTGTGTGTTCTTCCGTGTTCTGGCCTGAATCACATATACTACACGTATCACTTCTTGGCGTCCCAAATGATAAGTTAAACTTGGTGCAAAAAATCTTATTATAGGATGAAAGCTTTACCACAAATTTATCTTCTAAATTTTTAGATTTACAATCTTCAATGTACAGCTTATGCATTTGACATACATTTAATAAAGGAGAAAGATATTTTTTATGGCAGTTCTTATTTCGGGAATAATGCGATTCGTCAGCAGGAAATTGTTGAATGTGGTTAGTGATGGCATCTACTACATCTTCTGGGATCTTGTGAGGACGGTTGGTGTGTTGACCTCTTTTATCAGGTGTTGGGGCACACTCTCCCTTTTTTAGCTTTCTCTGAATAATTTCAATTTTTTTGCGATTAAACTGATAGAGAGAGCATAGGGCATCTCGGCAGATTATCTCTGTTTTCTGATTGTATGTAATAGAATAGGTAAAAGAGAATTTTTTTTGTCTTTTCATTATCGTTGTTAGATGTCGCTTAACAGGCCTAATGCTTATGCTGTTAAATAACAAGGCATTTTTGGAGTTTACATCTAGAGAGTAATACTTTTTTAAGATAGCCTCTCTGGCTTCCAAATTAAATTTATTTGTACATTTAAGTCGACACTTCTCCTTACAAAGCATTTCTTCGTTAATTTTTTTCCTCGGTATAAGTTTACCCTTCTGAGATAAGTATTCTTCACCCTTTTCCCTTCCAATAGCTGATTTTTTTCTTTTCCACTCATTTTCATTTTTATGGCGCTTTTTTGAAGTTTTTTCCTTTAACTCAAATATCTTTCGTTTTAAATTTTGCCTTCTTTCAAGAAAAACTGGATCTGGTAAGTCTCCATCACTTCTTGTATCAGCGGTGATATGATGTAAGGCACCAGACATATTTCTTGTACCAGGTAAACTGAGTTCATCTGGTGACTCAGTTGATTCATTTTCACTACTTTCGGGCTCATACTCACTATCGGAACTCTTATCTTCACTCTCTGATGACAAGAAATTATCTGCATCTGAAATGTTACAAATTAAAAGTATATTAATAGTCTTAACATAGAAATTTCTCCTTACGTTCTTCAGCTATTTGCTTCGAAATGTCATCATTCACGTTATTTTGGTTTCCAGAGTCATCTTGATTGTTGACATTTTTGTTAACAAAGGTGTAGTTATTTTCGTTTTCTAAAAAAATATCGCAGGATATTGTAATATTAATTAATCAAGCCCTACATTTAAAAGGAAATTGCAGGGCCGTTTTTAAGTTAATATTTTTTAACTGTGCAAAGATCTCATTAAAACAATTTTTTTAATAACTTAAAAGGGTAATATTATACTTATGCGTACATACATATATTATATATACAACTTTGAGGTTTACTAAACACCATAAATAAACACTATTTTGGTTGGGTTGTTTCTTATTCTAATAACCAAATTAATTACAACAAAATTATGCTTAAAACTTATATTATTGCTTGTATCAAAATACGAATTTACACAACCAAAATGGTATTTTATAGACATATACATGTATTTGTATAAATCCCAGATTTAACTGCATGTACCTATGAATTCCGCTTCTCAATTTCCGTTTTTTTTAAGTTATTTAAAAAATATGATTTCCTTATTGCGGTCTATACATGCATAGTTAAAAAAAAGTATCAACCTAGAAATCACCCTATATAACACCAATCACCCTATAAAACACCAAAAGTCACATCTAGGTTTGGTTGGTATTCAATAAACTTTGCTTACCTTCTTCTACTGCCTTTTCCTCATTTTTATTTATTATCAGTGACAGAATGTGCTTGCCTCTAGACATGTTCTTATTTAGTTTACACAACACAGTATTTAACAACAAAAATAATCTTTTACCAGCGAGCTCGGCGATCACCAAGAAACTGAGAAAATTACAAAAAATTTCGTAACATAACCTCACACCGAAGTGTCATCTAGAAAACAACGGTATCCGGTCTTCCGAAACTGAAATGGATAAAGGTGTCATATAGCATAAATCTCAAATATTTGAATGGATTAAGGTGTCATGTTACAATAACACCTTTCTCCACTGAAACAGAAAAAAAATGTGTACATGACACCTTTAGCAACTTCGTATCACAGAAACTTTTCGTTGTTTAGCTGAGATTGATATCTCACATCAAAATATGACCTATTTAAAATGCTAAGTACTAATAAAACAAGTTTTTTAAAAAATGTGACATGACACCTTTATCCACTCGTGTCTTCAATTAATACTTATAAGTAGTAGGTGTTTACGAAAAATGTTGCATCTAGGGTTGGAACTTTATTTTTCACAATTAGTTACTGATTTTTCTACAGCTGTAATAAATTCTTAAACAACTGTCTAACAGAAATTAGCATTATTGAATAGCGTAGATATATTATCTTCGTTTATTATTTTATTTCTCGTACGAACCGGCAACACTGTATGCCGCTTTTTATTTTGTCTCTGTCTCTCAACTGGTCGTATATATTTATCTCTGTCTTACGCATTAAAGTACAGAGCACGGAAATAAAGTGACCAGGGCTAGTATAACTTATAAGTTTTTTAAATTACTGCTTCGTTTTTGTCTTCTTCAATATTAAGTTTCTTTAGTACATATATAAATATACTATATAGTAGATACTTTATAAAGTTTTAGATATATTTTCTCATATAATTAAATATGATAAAAATATTAAATCGATACTCTGCAATATTATATATTATTCTGCCCTATTTTTTAACTAGTATAATTTCAGTAGTATACATGAAAGTTTTTAAAATAGTCTATTTTTTTCTATGCACGTAAAAACCGGTGTTGTAGATGAACACCGGTGTCGAGATAAACACCGGTGCTGAAATGAATACCGATGTTGAGATAAACACCGGTGTTGTCACCGGTACACGGACTGAAACACCGGTGGTCATCAACACCTAACACCGGTGTTCAAATCTCAACACCGAACAGGTCTACCACTGTATGCCGCTTTTTATTTTGTGTCTCAACCGTTCATTTATATTTATCTCTATCGCATGCATTAAAATACAGACCACGGACAAGTATCCAGGATGGTATACAGGCTATTCCATTAAATAAAGCGGTTCATGTAAAACCTTTGTGAAACTCTCTGAAAAATCTCTCTGAAATCCTGTATATCATATTTTTTTTCAAATTATTACCTCGTTTCAAATATCAGCTAGCTAATTATTGCTGAACCTTTACAAGTTGTTCTATTTTCTTATATTTCATTTCCGTTTATTTCATAATATAAAATAAACAAAACTATTTTTAGACCATAATTATGAAGCAACATTTTTTACCGTGTATTGTATTGTTTATAAAATATTTCGACATCATTTGTCGCTTTTCTAGGTACTGTTAGAATTTAATTGTAAATAATATATTTGTTTTAATCAGCTTTGCTTACAAAACATAGTTATATCATGATTAATAGTATATAAGTACTTTGATATAGCTAGTATACAGGATGAAAATAAATAAGTAGAAAATTATTACTCATTAAAGCAAATACTTTAGCCGAACAGAAGTATAGTTATGTAAAATATTCAAAAAAAATAATTCATCGGTCAACCTGAATAGGTATGTCGTCGATCTACAAGTAAAACACTCTTAAGTCCAAAAAAGAATAATTTTGAATGCATATTTACTGGACAAATTTACTTAACGCTTTCATGAACTTAAAATAAATATGAAAATAATTTAAAAATAAAAGGAGCATAATTTAAAAATAAAAGAAGATTTAAAAGATTCTTCCATATTCTGGAAAAATTCTAGTCAAATAATATAAATAAGCCAAAAATTAAATAAATAACCGTCAATAAGTATACAGTGTATGGATTTAGAAAGAATATGTTTTTAATTTTGATTATTAATTGCCATAAAAAATACTCACGCCAATATCTACATATTTATATCGATTCAGTAAAAAGAAAAATCAGTATCTATCAGTTCTTAGAAGTGAAATAATTCTGAATGCATACGCTTTCATACGTACATTCGCAATTCGCAGCAATACTCGTTGATAATCAAACACTTCAAGGGTTCTTTACATATCTGTTCAAATATCGACATTACACGAATGAATGGGAGGCTCTATTCATATCCCACTCTCTGTGTAAAAAAAGCCTGTAAAGTAAACCCAACTTTCGTTTATGTTGTTGTCTCTTTTTCGCAATCTGTCTGTAAATATATCGTAAAGGTAAAGTTGTAAGAGAGGTTAATCCTTACTTAGCAACAGTTTGTTATTTCGAAGACGAAGAGTTATGGTGTCAGAAACCGGAAATTTAGCATAATCTAAGATTTTATGACGCATACATAAATATTTATATTTATTTATTCTTATTTTATTTCGCTATTTATCTACCAGGAAAATATTTCTGAGTAAATTACCTAGTTGTGACTTAAACCATTTTTTAATCCTAATTGAGTAAATTAGTGGAATAACAAAATAGAGAACGTCTATACCTCTGTGGCGGATTCATCTCTTAAAAAAAATCCAATGGGTATTTCGTCACTTGTCCTGTAAGAAAAACTACAAAATAAAATAATTATTTTTTGTAAACACTGCTGCGTTAATTCAACGGAGACCAATTTGTCAGCAGTAATTAATTAATAAACAAATTTGCATAACGGACAAAAAAATGTTTAACGTTTCGGGAAGTATATCTCTTCCCGCCATCGAAAGCAAAAAACACAAATAATAAAGAAAAAAGCTATTTAAAATATCTAAACATACTATAACAATTTAACAATAATTTATTTTTTCTTCAACAGTTACGTCTATAAAAACCGTTGACATCCTGTTAATGTTCATGTTCTGTTTGATGATGTAGAATGTTTAAGAGGGGAGTTTGATGATGTTAATAATGAAATATTCTTTAATGAATAATGTTTTGATAAAATGAGACTGAAAGATAATAGATTGTAGAAGCTATAATAAATATGCTAAAAATATTTAGATGATTTATCATAAGAAATAACTGAAGTTGAAAGAAAAGGATAGATGTATACCATACCAATGAAATTATAAATATTTTGAAAAGATGCGTATGTCCCTAAATACTGTCATTAAATAAATCTTCATTTTTTTCTGGTTGAAAGGAATTGTTACACAATGAGAAACAATGAAATCATTACTTATTAAATATAGTGTAGTCTCTTTTTATGCACTTGTTGAATGTTCTGTTTTCTTTTAATAATCGATGAAATCATCTGGTGATGCCAACTCAAAGCATATGCAGTAATCTAACTATATTAAAATTTTCTTCTTTTAATGGTATTGTTTAAAAGTTTTAATTTGTCGCATATTAGACGCGAGATAGACAAAGTTTTGCAGAATTAAAATCAATTATGTACATTTTGACATAGACAAGTATTTTTCAGCTTAAGCCTTAGTTTTAACCTTGATTTTAATCCAAAATAAATAAGAATATTAGATGAGATAGTTGATTTCAAATCACAAGTTATTGGAGAACTATAGATATACTGTTTTCATCGTAGGATAATATGTCAATCCTATGGTGCCTGGTGAAACCGACATTGAAACTTTTATTATTAATCGTCATAAAAAATTATGACGATTTATATAAGTTAAACAATAATATCAGTTATCCATTATTATTTCAATTTGAATCAGTAAAACAAAAATTAAGTGTTATTAATAGAAATAATGGAGGCTATTTTTCCCATAACAAAATAATATATCTAAGTTGCTTATAAAATAATATATCTAAGTATGGCTTTACCCATAACAAAATGATATATCTAAGAGTATAAAGACAAGACAAGCTAAGACAAGCACAAATTAAGAAACTAAATAAACTAGGTCTCAACTAGCCACCGATAAAATAGATCTCAAAGTGAATTTAGCAAAAACTAGTAAGAAGTAATATTCAAAGAACTAGTACAGAAAAGACAACATTCGAAATAGTAGAAGAATATATTTTTTTATCATTATTTGGGACAACTAATACACAGCTCGGGCACTACCAGAAATCAACAGAAGAATTAAGTTAGCATGGAATACTTATGGAAGAAACTCAATTATATTCAAATCTAGAATGCCAATTTGTCTAAAGAAGAAAACATTTGACCAATATGTACTACCAGTCTTGACCTATGCATGCGAAAACTGGACATTTAAAATTATAAAGAAACTGCAAGTCGCACAATTTTCAATGGAACGAAATATGCTGGGAATAACCAAGAAAGACAGTATAAGAATAGCGCCTAATCAAGACCACAGAATTAAATCCCTCAAGTGGCAAAGGGCAGGACACCTGGCAAGAAGGACGGAAAACGGACCAGTAAAATTACCCAAGAGGCATTAAGAGACCTAGAAGACGACCAAACCTGAGATGAGACCATAATATTAGGAAATTAGCAGGGATAACTTGGGCCCGCATAGCCAACAATAGACAATACCCAACTACAAAGAGAGTATCCAAATATATGAGGGAGGCCGCACCATAATTGGAAATGGATGAAAAATCTGAGAATGATTATGATGATGATAAAAGCAAGCTAAACTGCATCTATTACATTAATTAATAGATAATAGTACAGCCGAGTTTAAATTAGAACCTATTATAGTTGTCTAGTCTGTTTGAAAATGGTAGACTAGGTAGATAGATGGTAGATTCATCATTGAATTATAGAATTATTTTCAGTCAAATGTACCTATTACTGGCGGTTGACAAGTGTCAACTGATTGATAACAGGCAGTGATATATCTGACCCTCGATCTGACCGTTACGTTGCGTAAAATTTTAAAATTATAGACAGTGTCAGCTCAATCACATATTTTATATCAGCTTTCTAGTCGTTCAACAACGTATTTTTCCTGATGTTTCAGTACAATGTAAAACAATTTGAACATTATTTTTGAATTGTCCAATTCAAATTTGAATAATATTTAAATATACATAAATTTAAAAGTTTAATTGGTATATTAATGGGTTATTGTATTATTTGTCTACTCATTTTAGATATACTTTTTATTATATATCTTTAAAATGCGATTTAATGAATTCTTAAATGAATGTGTGTTGTCAACCTTCACGTCGTCTGACCCCATTTTCTTATCTCCTTTAATTTATGTAATTTATAAAGTGATAATAAGCATTGGTTTTAATGTAATTATGCATCAACTTCGATATTTTGGGGTTTTGACTCGGTTTTATCTCACCTTTGTTAATTAAAATCCACTTAGGTATTAAGGT